TTAAAAGAATAGCTGGATAACAAGCAGGAACATTTCTATAAAGCACTGAGTTATTTAGAACTAAATGTGATGAAAATAGACAAATCAAAGTTCAGCTAAAAATCTGTTTTATTCAGACCTGAGCAGGCTTGAATAAATCAGATTTTCCAATCAATGGGATTTATTTGAACTTTTCTGTGAAAGAAACATTCGTTTAATTAGCAGCAAACTTTTTTTTTTTTTTTTTAAAAAGCTCTTTTCAGCAAATTATTAGGAAATTAGTTGAAAAACAAGCATGAATGTTTATTGTCTTGAAGAAGTTTAAATTGACACCATCCATTTTTTGAGGATGACGAGGAGGCTGAGAAACTGTATAATGACAGCATGAAGAAGCAGAACATGTCTGTCCTTAAGGGTGAGACTCCACATTTAAAGTCCTCACCTGATACTTGAGCAGGCCGACGTTGTAGTACGAAGCCTGCGGGTTGAGCTCAGCTTCTCTCTGCAGGTAGAGCTGCAGCGCCTGCATGTTGAACCAGAAGTCTCTGGTGTCCGGGTCGCTCTGAGACGGATCGCTGTGGAGACAACTGATTGATTGATAACCCGACAGAGCAGTGGACGCCGTTTGTAACATAAAAAGCAGACGGCAGCTGACCTGTAGAGCAGCTTCTGATTGGGCAGGAAGTGATCGATCCGTGAGATGTTGACCAGCCTGAAGCTGAGCACGGGGACGTTGGGGTTGGCCGTGAAAATCCTCGTGATGCCTGCTGGGAAGGACATCGTCAGGTCGCCTGTGATCTTCACTAGACACCTGAAGGAAGAAGAGAAACACGCAGACCAAGTTTATTTAATCAAGTGATCCGTCAACACGTCAGTTAGCCCTCTGCAACCCAAAACCCACCAGTGGCTTTGACAAGCATGCCATCTTTAAATTAAAAAACAAACAAAAACCAAACTATCATCAGTACAAGAAACTAAAAACAGAACAAACTGTCAGATTTTTAACTTCGGATGCTCCATGAACGCATCACTTGTCACATGTGGTTCCAGTAGTAAACTTTACCAAATCTAAAAATCACCTTAGAATAAATCATCAGCATCACTTTATTCTACACGTCTCCCCAAACATCTGCATTAACCAGATGTTGTAAAAAACACAAAAATAAAATTAAATCAAATCTTAATGAGTCGTCTGTGACCAACAGTCATATGACAGAAACTTTCCATGAAGTGCAGGCTGTGTTTACCAGGAGCAGACTGGAGACGAGTATGGAAAGTAATTTAAGAGAGTGAAAGGAAAATAAACCATGATCAATAAAAGCTTGATCAATAAAATGAATGTAGCATGGATAGAAAAAGAACAGTATACAGAGGATGCATTCAGCTGGTGAAATGCCTTCTAGAGTTGGAGAGCAGAGTATTGTGATAAACACCAAGTCTGTTGAGATTGTAAAAGTCTAAGTTGTAAAATATGTATATATACATAATGTATAGCATGTTGATCCCTTGAAATATAGTCGTGACTCGATAATCTGACCCTTAACAATCCTAAACCTGCTATCTGACAGGTTTTTAGGAAAAACCAACAGAACCCATAAAAACAGCCTTAACATAGCGACAGCCTTGGATTGTGACTCCGACATGACATTTAATGTCACCAATCAGGATGACGGAGTATTATCTGACTGAACAATCCCACAGATTGGCTACGTTCACACTGCAGGACTTGATGCTCAATGAGGATTTCTTTGTGACTTCCTTCACGTTTCCACTTCAATGCGACTTGTATGTGATCTGCTGTGTGAACTTCATACGAGCCAAAAGTGTCCCGCATGCGCAGAAGAGGACACGACGACGTCACACGCAGCGAGCGCGCTCAGTGTTTATGGAAGTAAACATGGATGGTAACGGTGGAGCGTATCTGCCACTCCCCCGCCGCCACCGATGGAGGAAACAGAAGTGTGAGCGCTAACTAAACTAGCATCAGCAGCCAAGTACTGCCTGTGTGTTCTGGACACTTCCACCCCGTCAGAGCGCTGCCCCGGGGTGGAAGTGTCCGTTCAAGCATCAAGCCCTCCTTGTATCTGGACCTCCGTCTTGACAATCCGACAGCCTTGCTATCCGACATAGAAGAAGGTTTTATATTTAGTGTCGGATTATCGAGTCATGACTGTACATATTGGACATGTTGACTCCAGTTTTGTTAATGTTTGTAAACTACATAATCAAAAAAGTGCACCTTCATTTTTTTCCTCTTTTTTCTCTGTTTCTAACCATAGTTGTGCCGTTTCTATCTAGGAAAGGACTTTATATTGTGGTGAAAAATGAGCCAACAGTGAGCAAAACAAACCCCCAGAAACTTGCTTTGGCTTTCAGAGGGTTAACAACATGCAATATGCAACATGTCTGTTATTTCTGTGAAGAGGAAGCCTCATGCTGACCGGTTGTGCTGTCCACCTTTGAAGTAGGCATTGATGTATTCTGTGATAGCGGCTGCGACCGGCCAGGCCTCCTGTGTGCTCAGGGAGATGGGACTGGGACCTCTGGACAGATGCACTGTGGAGAACAAGTCTGATAAATCTGAGTCACCATGTCATCCTGAAACAAGTCACTTTAAAAGGAACTATAGGAAGGAAATATGTTCAAAATATGCTGATTCACGTTTCTAAATGTGCTTCAGAAATAATCTAACTACACCTTTCCCTACAGAGAAACAATTCTACTGAAGCTTCTCATGTGTCTTACACTGTCTCTGCTGGTGGTCCTGGTGCTGGTAGGGCAGCGGTGACACTTGTCCCGGCCTGGCAGGGCTGGCTGCTCGGTTCTGGCCGCCCCACTCGCTGGCCTGGGGCCCCCACTCACTGGGGCTGGAGGAGGAGGAGGAGGTGAGGGAAGGGCTGGGCTCCGGCAGTGGGGAGGAGCACAGGGACCGGGACTGAAACACACAGGGACGACATTAGCAGCACCGTTGACCCGATGTCTTGATCAGACATTTACATCCAGTGCATCATTCACACAGCTTTGGTGCATCCTGGTATCAAGATACGGTCCCATCGTGTCAATAAACAAGAACTGAAACAGACAGTAGCTGATGTGTTCATGATTTTGACAGTTTAGAAACACTACAGTCATCAGAAAGGTAATATTTACAGTATTACAAGACGACTGGAGTGGGTGGAAAGAGTTTCCCTTTTTGTTTCCACTCAGTAAATGATGAGTTAAAAGGTTTTACAACAATTATCTGCAACCACTGTGACAGGTTTAGTCTCCTATTCAAAAAATAAATAAATAAATTACAGATTTCAGGAAGATAAACTGTAGTGTTCTGACTCTAAAGTACTAATTACATAAAATAAAACTATGATTTTAAGAAGCAGACGATGAAGGGATAATGAATTGACTGAGCTAGCGTAGCCGTGACCTCATGGCGTGACACTTACTCTCTCACAGCCGCTCAGTCGGCCTGAAGACCTCTTGGCCCGGGCGGCTCTCTGAGGAGCAGCTGCGACCACTTCAGACGTTTCTTGTCTGAAGTTGTGTTTGGAACCTTGCAAAAAGACACGAACACACAACATGGCTCAAAGCAGATCTGAATCACACGCCGAACTGGAGCACAAGAGACAGACGTGCTCCAGAATCAGCCAAGAGCTGCGTTCAGAGCAGCCAGCGACAAGCCGTGAGCAGCAGACTGCCAGATCACGCTGGCACCAAACACAACAACATCTTATTTGTATTGGTTCAATTGAGAGATTTACCATCCTGTTGGTTTATGAATATTTTCTTCCCTAGTAAGAAAAAAAAAGAACAAATCCCACACAGTGTTGATCACTTGTTCACACTGTCAGAGCTCGATCCATCAGCCGACACCCACATAAACGGTACGACGAAGGTCAGAGATGAAGTGAGCATGAATGATCGATAAGGAGCAGGAAAACTATTTGGTTCGTTCACGGTCAAAGCTTTTGTTCTGGAACGGCCACTAAGTTTTTCTGGGGTGCAACGAACACTGAACCATCCATCCATCATCTGTACACCTTAAGCCTCTCTAGGGTCATGGGGGGCTGGAGTCTATCCCAGCTGTGAAGGCAGGGGACACCTGGACAGGTAACCAGTCTATCACAGGGCTACACTTAGAGACAGACAACCAAGCACACTCACATTCACACCTACGGACAATTTA